CACCCCATAGTATCTTATATTTCATACAGAGTGTAGTGGCAGGATTCCCTGCCCAAAGTCCTGGCTTTATCCTGTCCACCTTGGAGTTTTGGCTGTTCCCCCACCTTTTGGGTGCTCTCACTTTTTTCCATAGAGTTAAGAGAAAAAGAAATCAGCTAGTAATGGCTTTAGTGGATATGACTGCGTGAGAACTCAAACACGGATATCTTCTGATTGGCAGCCACGTGACATAATGACAGTTTCTCAATCTGACACTTTGCCACATGAGGTCCATCCAATTATAGCTGGCAGGAAAACATGAACTAAGTTCTAATCAGAAGATAAACTGAAGGACCGAAGGGGGACTGTGTTCAGGCCAAATTATGCTACTGTGACATCAAAGTTGCTGCAAAACATAATCACTTTTTAATCAAATTGAAGTGGAGGAAATCCTGCGACTGGAATGAAGTATAAATATTCAGTCACCTTTTAAAAGGAAAAAGGCCCCCATTTTAAATATAGCTGAACTATACGGAGGTTGTACACAGGTTCGGAATCTATTTGCATATGCGCAGCTGGCTTCTTTTAATTAATTAATGGCCACGGAGGGTCTAATTTCCTACTCGTATGTTTTCTATTTTATTGATGAGCAGCTGTGTATTTCTGCATTAAGTGCTGTTTCGCAGCCCCAGAACAGGATGTGTATTTGGCAGCATCTTACCATTAGAAAATTGAAAAGCAACAGGATTTGTTCCCAGCGCAGTGAATCTGCAAATAGAGTGGACACAGAAAACCTCAAATGAAGCCACTAATTTGATAGAGTATGTTTGAAAGAGCTATCGCCAGGGAGGCAAGGCAGCGATTCACTCCTGCGCTCTATAGATAGGCTAATAATTTGTTGTGCTGTCAAACGGCAAATGCTAAAGTGTCCATAATGTGGAAAATGTACACCCATGAAACATAAGGTTTTGTGAATCTCTAATGGCAATTGCATGCTTTCTTCTTAGCGGTAGGAATTGGAATAATGTACCCTCTGATGTGAAATGTAAGGAAATCAGATGACGGGGGAGATTCTTAAAGCTGAATTGAAACCCTGCCGTGAAAGAAATGGGATGCCATTGCTGACCTGCTTCCTTAAATGCTAATTGGCTGTCATGCCAATTTAAAGTGTATGTATAGCATATGCAAGGAGCAGGTTCTCCCTGTGCTTGCGTGGGTTTCCTCCAGGTACTCGGGTTTCCTCACACACTCCAAACACATGCTGGAAAGTTAGTTGGCTCTTGTCTAAATTGGCCCTGTATGTATGCATGTGAGATAAGCACCTTAGATTGTAAGCTCTTTAAGGGCAGGGACTGATGTGAATATGCGCTGTGTAAAGCACTGCATAAATTGTCGGCGCTATATAATTACCTGTAATAAATAAAGAGCAGGTGAAGGGAAATATTCTAATAGGCAGCCTTGTTTGGGTGACAGCTTTCTAATAGCCATGATCTTGGTATAGCTCTTTTGAGGTTGTACCCAGCTTTCATAAACAAGCGATCGGGTAGCTGTAGGGCTTCCCGATCACTTACTGTATATGGTGCTAAAAAGGTTAACATCCCTCCACCGCCATTGCCAGCTCTCCTGGGCTCTACTTTACTTTCCCCGTGTGGGCCTGAGACTGGCACAGCAGGTCTCTTCCAATGGTTGATCTTCCCTCTGGTTACTGAATGCGGAAGAGATGAAGATTTTGTCACTTCTGGTTTCAGGCTGCTGTGGCCGGAGAAGAGGCTGGTGAAGCATAATCTGTGCTTTATCATCTTCAATGGGGTCCATAGATGAAATTATGGATTTAATAGATCCCTGTTGTCTCAAAAAAAAAAAAAGTTAAAAAAATTGTTACCTATAATTTAATTTACATCCCTCCGCCCACACGTACAAACACAAGTGCATTGGGTGGACCTATGTGCGAAAGTGAGTATTGGGCTGCAACATGTTGCCTATCACCTTGAACGTTTGAGTGAGAACAAACATTTTAAGGCCATCACTCACTGTTAACGCTAAATAAATCAGCGGTAAAGCATCGCTTATGGGCGATTTTGCATATTGTAGTTTTTGGCCTTTTCATAGGCATGCACAATTTTTTAATGTATGGTATCTGCCACAACCCTAAATTTTACATTCTATATTATGTTTGTGTTCACTAAAATTCATTTTACTACATTCTTTCCTAAAAATCTTGATGAACATTTTCAAAAATGCAACTAGCATTTCTTTTATCTACAAGGCCTCTGCTTTCAGAAAAGATATAATTGAGCGTTTACAGCAGTTTTCTAGCCAAAAATTCAGATTTTAACGTGTTTGTGCAAAAATTAAAAAAAATTGCTCTGGACCTGAAATAGTTAAACCTGCCAGGGGTCCTAACTATTTCCTACCCTAACTGATACTGGGGAGCTAAAACCTTTTTTGTGTTGGCTTTACATACCCTTTAATACTTTCTACACCAGTATGAATGATGTAAAGTCAGAGCTGCTCTGCATTGTTCTAATTCTGTGGCTGTGAAAGTTCTAAAGTGAGGCAGCATGATGGCACAGAGGTTGGCACTTTTTCTTGTAGCTTTGGCTGCAAAGGCCACCTTGGACACTATCTGCATAGTTTGCATATTGTCCTCATGTTTGCATATCACCTTTGTGTGCCTGAGTGCATGTTTACTTTATTTCCGTAGTAGCCTGGGCACACCAAAATCAAGCACACTTATGCCAATACCAACCTGTCCTTGACGGTTCTTTGTTGCTCTTTCCTTCTGCGTTTACCAAGCAGTCAGTGGGAAAGAGATAGGCCATGCAAGCTTTTGTTGGAAGTTGCATAAAAAAAAAAGACCAAACTGGATTTGGGGGCTCCTGGGTCACTCAATTGTTAGTAGTCATTCAGACGCTCAGAAAATGTTGGTATAAAACAGGTGGTGAAACTATATCACATCATACTGCTGCCTCTGGAAGTCATGCCTGTGGCTGTCGGGAGTCTTCCAATGCCTCATGGAATTTGTAATTGGGCCACATATGGAGGGCCGGAGTTTACTTACTCCTGGTATAAAATGTTGTAGATCTTTATTTTTCTGCATCGATTTGTTAGCATCTCATTAAGCGAAAGTGCACAGATTTCCTAATGATGAAATACAACAAACCTCTAACCGCTTGCAGAAATCTCACCTAATTCCTCTGTGTTTTCTCCTGGAAATCCCGTTAATTCCTCTTGTATTTCTCTGGGGAGGGTATCTTGAAAGCCTTCTTAATTATCTCTGTTGTTTATCTGCAGAGTACGGCTTGGAAATCTCTTTCTCTGTGTTGTCTTAGCGAGGCTGTCTCCATAGCACTTTACATGCTAATTATAACAAGCCATCCTACAGTGATGAGACCAAGTGGGAGTGAAACAGGTTGTCGGTGGACAACCTGTGTGTTATGCTCTTATAATCCCTGTGGGTGAAGTATTGATTCAAAGCAGCATTACACATAGGACTGTTATATTAGATTGGTCCTGTTTCTATGGGTCTGCTGTAGTTTAATGTGTGATTTACCAAAACTCTTACCCGGCTGTAAAATTGTTATTGATTTTTGTAAATGATTTTGCATTGAATGCTGAATGCTTCTGGAGTGTGTTTAAATGGTTTAGTTCATATACCTACCTATTCTATTCCGATCGATTTAGATTGAGTGAGTTGCATGTGGTCAATTAGATTGACATGAATGCTGTTCTCTAAACACAGTGTAGTGCTCTGCAGATGGCAAAATTAGCTGTCGGGCCCCAAAGAAGTCTTTAGGAATTTGCCGACAACTGACTGCCTTCAGAGCAGTGCATGGAGAGTAGAAGCGTGCCAGCTCCTGAAGATCTCAGAACTGGGGCAACACAGATGAGCAGATTACACATAATTACATTTAACTCATCTAATAATACAAACCTGAAGTACAAAGTACCTAATCTGCCAATTGCAGCATATACAGTGGCTGGCAACTGCTTGAATGTCATGGTGCCCAAAATCCCAGGGTACTCTTATATGCACATAGTCACTTGGCTTCCTGCCCAAACTCTCACAACAGCCCATGACTGGAGCATGGAGAGGGGTAGAATCAGCCTCTCAATCCTAAAAGCTGGGTTGACATGAGCCTATAACGGGAACCTGGGATATGAACTGATCACAATCACGCCTAGTTCCCAACTGTTCCTTATTTAAAGGCAATGCCACTATTTTGGAACTGAATTCCTCTGTTACTCTTTTTTTTTATTTATTTATTTTTCATTTTGGTCTGATGTGTAGACCTCTATAAGAAATTTTACTTTTGAGCCACCAAAAGTGGTATGCCACACTGAACCTTCCATCTAACATCTAAATGATCAGATGCAGTATTTTGAAAAGCTAGTATGAAGTGAAAGAAGTGGTGGAAAAAGCACTTGATGGTTGAACCAATCATTTTCTGCATGGTAATTCTTCATAGTCCATGGTTGTTGAAGGGGTGTATCCTTCGCCTACATATTTTGTGCTGAAAGTTGTCCCTTTTCCTCATCTCAAAAAGTTAGAAGATGTAAAATGAGAATCTGATTAAACTATATTTTTTGGCTGAAGGAGAAAATAAGAGCACCCAGAGGACTTGTGCATAGATCTGGGGAGTACGTACAAACTCCATGTAAACCAGGGATAGCCAAACTTCAGCCCTCCAGATGTGGTGAATGAAAGTCCCATGAGGCTTTTCAAGGCTCTGACAGCCACAGGTAAGACCTCCCAGAGGCATTTGTCATTTCACTACAGCTGGAGGGCTGAAGTTTGGCTACTCCTGATGTAGACCGTGTCCTTGTTGAGAATACTTGAACTAAGAGAAATGTGGAGGCAGCCATTTCTGTCCCCTCATGAGAAAGTTTGTTTCCTGCTATGCTAACCACTGGCTTCAATGTCCTAGAGTAAGTGTGCAGCAAGTAATTCAAACATTTTGCTCTTCTTTCCATGTTATAAAGAATTCATGTGAATCATTTCATTTGTGTTTTCCAGATTTTAAGTGTGAAGAAAGCTCAGCATGGGAAAGCAAAACAGCAAACTGCGACCCGAGATCCTTCAAGATCTGCGGGAAAACACAGAGTTCACCGACCATGAGCTGCAGGAGTGGTACAAAGGCTTCCTGAAGGATTGTCCGACTGGACATCTCACGGTAGAAGAGTTCAAGAAGATCTATGCAAACTTCTTTCCTTACGGCGATGCATCTAAGTTTGCAGAGCATGTATTCCGCACCTTTGACACAAACGGGGATGGGACGATTGACTTTCGGGAATTTATCATTGCGTTAAGCGTCACTTCTCGGGGGAAGCTGGAACAGAAGCTGAAGTGGGCGTTTAGTATGTACGACCTGGATGGGAATGGATATATAAGTCGTGGAGAGATGTTAGAAATTGTTCAGGTAAGTTCAGCTGGTTTACCAAATTCAGACTAGACGTGGAAATTGAAGCGTTCTTCTGTGAAAAGTTAAATTTGTTTAGCTTTCCTTCTGCTATTATTATTATACAGGATTTACATAGCGCCAATAGTTTGCACAGCGCTTTACAATATAAGGAAGACATTACAGTCACAATACAATTTAAGACAAGATGGTAAGGAGGGCCCTGCCCGTGAGGGCTTACAATCTAAAAGGGAGGGGCAAGTGACACATGAGGAGGTAGCTGCGCGGGGATGATTGTTTGAGAAAGTGATTGTTCAGTGGTTAGGTTGAGGTGGGATAGGCTTCCCTGAAGAGATGAGTCTTAAGGGATCGCCTAAAGGCAGTCAGTGTGGGAGATAGACGGACAGGTTGGGGTAGAGAGTTCCATAGAATGGGAGACACTCTAGTGAAGTCCTGGAGGCGAGCATGGGAGGAGTTGATGACGGAGCTGGAAAGCAGGAGGTCTTGTGAAGAGCGGAGGGGGCGCTTAGGGTAATACTTTGAGACCAGGTTGGAGATATAGCCGGGGCCAGAGTTGTGGATGGCTTTGTACGCGGTTGTTAATATTTTGAATTGTATCCTTTGGGCTATAGGAAGCCAGTGTAGGGATTGACAGGGGGGGGTTGCAGACACCATGACTATGACTGCTGAGTATCGTACTCTCTGGTTTCCTAAAGTAATCTTGCAGCCACATAAGTGTGAAGTGTGTTGTTTTTTTTATTTCTGCCAAAGACCTGTCCTTGCTTTTTTACATTTGTTTAACTAGAATACCTCATCTCATTTCACTTTGTTGTAGGGAACTAGCATCCTAACTTAGACTAAGCCCCCTCCAACTACCACCCATCTGTTTAAGTGAGAATGTCTTTGTGGCCACTTAAAGGAGAAATATGAGGCGAGTGATTTACACTCATCCTCATAGTTTTAGTCCATGTGTGACGTTGAAACTGTCACACAATGGCTCTATAAATCGGAAAGTGAGTGAACACACTCCTGATCATTTCCCTGCAGAGATCAGTGACTGTGAGTCACCGCTCCTCACAGGGATTCCCCAGCGCTGACTGGAGAAACAGACTGGGACGGGGCGGGCACAGGTGCTCTGCCTCTGGATAGGCAGAGGCCGCTGCCAATCAGCCAGCTGGGTGGATCTCGACAGTATTGTCGGGATCTGTCCCAGCTGCAGTGCTCTCAATATGTAGCAGGCAATAGCTCGCTATGTACTGAGCTTTGGGTCACGGGAGGACGTTAGTATATGTCCTCCCGTGACTCTAAAGAGAACTATGGGATAAAAAGGTTATCAGCCGAATGGCAGTTCATGGGGTTAGTTCCCATAGATACTTGTTTTATAGGAAAATAGAAACTTTGTTGCAGACATCCTACCTACTGAAATCCCTGATATATTAAAAGCTGGCAGGTTATTCAGCTTTCCAGTATCTACCACAAACCGATTCATTATGTTTAGGTGAACTGACCCTTTAAAGTGTCCTTGGCAGCACATACCCACTAAAAGAGGACTGAATATGCTCACTTTCAGACATCCCATTTCTTAAAAAGCCACTGCAGTTCATCGTCCTCTGCAAGTATTCAATTAATCAGATGGGTCAAATACAAGCTCAGCTCCCCTGTGGCTCGCTGTAGTTCTCCTTGATGACTCGAATGTCATGTAGTGATGTATGGATGACTCCACAGCAAGCAGCGAGGTGAGCAGATATTTACACACCCAGTGTATGTGAATACTTGCAACAAACGGGAGAGAAGTGAAGCGGAGACTTTCCAAGTACCAGGTTTCCAGTAAGGTTGGTATATGCATTCTTCTTTTAGCAGGCATGTTGTACATACAAGTGGCCTGTGCTGACAGGGCCATCATACTGGTAATGATTTCTTATGTATGAATTAATACATAAGGTCTATAAGGGCTCATGCACACAGGTACCTGGGTCCGTACAATGTAAACTCAGGTGTATTTCCCCAACCAGGAGGCACAGGTGCTGCATACAGCCACCCATAGGCAAACAATGGCTGTATGCGGCTGTATTCAGGCGTATGGCGGCACTTGTGGAAACATGCAAGTGCACACAAATGTGACATTTCAAATGAAGACTGTCTGCCTGTGCAAGGGGATGTATGTCTGTGCACACGCGTGTGTGTATAGGCAAGTATTGTCGTATGTCCATGTACAGCTGCATACATCCATTAATGTCTATAGGGAGCTGTACATAGCACCTGCAGTTCCCAGACAGGCACATACGCCCGAAGTTTGCCAAATCTTGCACCCATGTGCCTGAGCCCTAAATGGTATTTAAAATATCATGAACCTGTAGCATGTGACCATATGTGACTCTTCACTGTTGTTGGTGTTTTAGAAGACTAATGTTCAAAGCCTAGATTTCTTAGTCTCTATTGCATTTTACACCTCACACTAGCCTGAAGCCAACAGAAGAAGCTTTTATATTTATAGAATGGTTACTTTTATTTGTCTCTTGCAGTCTGCTGCCATCTAGCATGCACACACATCATAGCATGTTACATTAAAACAAATGAGTCTAAGACGTGAGGGTGCAGGAATTGGTGCTAATCTGAGGTCTAAAGGTTAAGGAATTGGGGCTAACCTGAGGTGTTAAGGTTCAGGAATTGGTGCTAATCTGAGGTGTGAATATACAGCAATCGGGGCTGATCTGAGGTCTAAAGGTTAAGGAATTGGGGCTGATCTGAGGTCTGAAGGTACAGGAATTGGTGCTAATCTGAGGTATGAATGTACAGGAATCAGGGCTGATCTGAGGTCTGAAGGTTTTTAGGAATTGGGGCGGTTCTGGGGTCTGAAGGTTCAGGAATTGGGGCGGTTCTGGGGTCTGAAGGTTCAGGAATTGGGGCGGTTCTGAGGTCTGAAGGTTCAGGAATTGGGGCTAATCTGAGGTCTGAAGGTTCAGGAATTGGGGCTAATCTGAGGTCTGAAGGTTCAGGAATTGGGGCGGTTCTGAGGTCTGAAGGTTCAGGAATTGGGGCGGTTCTGAGGTCTGAAGGTTCAGGAATTGGGGCTAATCTGAGGTATGAAGGTTCAGGAATTGGGGCTGACCCTAGGTCTGAAGGTTCAGGAATTGGGGCTCATCTGAGGTCTGAAGGTTCAGGAATTGGGGCTAATCTGAGGTCTGAAGGTTCAGGAATTGGGGCTAATCTGAGGTATGAAGGTTCAGGAATTGGGGCTGACCTGAGGTCTGAAGGTTCAGGAATTGGGGCTAATCTGAGGTATGAAGGTTCAGGAATTGGGGCTGACCTGAGGTCTGAAGGTTCAGGAATTGGGGCTGATCTGAGGTCTGAAAGTGCAGGAATTGGGGCTTATCTGAGGTTTTGAAGGTGCAGAAATTTGGGTTGATCTAGGAATTGGGGCTGGTCTGAAGGTGCAGGAATTGGGGCTCGTCTGAAGGTGCATGAATTTGGGTCGGTCTGAGGCGTGAAGGTTCAGGAATTGGGGCTGGTCTGAAGGTGCAGGAATTTGGGTCGGTCTGAGGCGTGAAGGTTCAGGAATTGGGGCTGGTCTGAGACATAACAGAAGTAAGCCATAAAAACAGGGACAGGAATCGCACTGAAACTGTAAGTCCAGTTTACTGTTCAGTGCACATTAAAGCATATCTAAACCTAAAAACGTAAATGTAAATATATTGCAACTTACAGTCCTTAGATGTGCTGGCTGCATTAGTTTGTCTTTTTTAAGCTTTTTTCCTTTATTTTCTCCTGGTGATCCGGCCAGTAACACGCTTCCTGTCGTAGGGTGACACCACTTTATGGAGGCGCAATGGAGCCACCCTTGTCACCTGTGGGGAGGGTAGTATTAGATGGACTTGACTAACAAATGAAATCTGAACTCCAGCTAACACTTTTAAGCAGTTACAACAAAAAGTTTTTTGTTTTTTTTTTGCTTTTGGGATAAAGGTTTAACATATAAATTAATAAAAACTGACCTTTGTCAGTGTTAAATTTGTTGAAACGCTCGATCTGCCACTTTTGCTCGACAGCTTGGTCTGCTAAATAAAATAACAAACTTATTGTCTGGATCACCAGGCAAAAATGAAAGGAAAAGGCTTTAAAAAAAATAAAATGCAGCTACAACATTTAAAGATTGGTAGGTTGCAATGAATTACATTTTTGCTTTTGGTTTTAGATGCGCTTTAAAACTAACAATATTACTGTGGTGTACTATAGTCCAGTAGCACGCCAGTTGTCTACACCTTGTAAATTGACACTTGATGTAAAAAGGTTGCTGACCCCAATTTAGTTTTAGTAGCTTTTTATGATTATTCCAGGAAATTAGAAACGAAGGTTTAAAAATTGAATGAAAGATGAGAACAGAACCTGCATTTGTTTTTGTTTTGTTTTTTTTCATTAGTTTCCAACACTCTTTACAAAAAATGAGATTGGCAGGATCAAAAACTACAACAATTATGTACTTTTAAAAGAAAGAAGTTGCAATGGAGAAATCCCATACTGATATCAAACAGACATGGAGGATGAAAAGAAGCTTTAGGGCCCATTCACACCACATCCAGATCATCTCCAAACCAGACCAGATTGGTTCCGGACCCAAAATGCATCCTAATGTAATCTTATGCTATTTCTGGCCTCTGTTCACACCAACGCAGTCCATTCCAGAAAAATACTGCATGTCTCATTTTGTCTGGTCTGGAATGCGCTGGAACTGCAGGTAGGTTCACACCAGATCTGGCCCGGAAAATGGTGTGAAGCTGCCCTTAAAGAACTATGGACAAACATTATTTTAACCCTTGCAGTGCGGGGAAAGCCCCACTGCAAGAGTAAAGTGCTTGTTTTGGTCTGGGTGCAAAAATAACCGTTACTATGTACAGGCAGCACACGGAGCATCTTAGTGCCTTTCTTTGGTCCATATGAGGTTGCTATGGAGGCCTTGGCTTAGGTAATAGATCACACTTTCGGTAGTACTAACCCATGCCCACTTGCGGCTCCTGACTTAAAATGCCTTTTATTGATGTCTAAACTTTGTGGTCGAACAAACCGCAACGTTTCGGCAGAACACAGGGTCCCTTCATCAGGCTGACCAATAAAGTACTCTGGGTGCACAGGGGCCGGCAGGGGTCTTTCTGTTTGATTGTATGGGCCATAGGCATTACACGCGTTACATTCTTGGTTTACTACACATGCCACAATGCATGACTCCTCCTATCTCAAGGCCCGCCTACAGAGTCCAATTTAGACCTCCATATAGGTCAATCGTTTAGGAACTCCCCAGGTAGGGCACTCTTGTTCCTCTTTCACTTCCCCAGGGATCAATTCTGCACCGCAGATGTTCAGAAATGAGAATGAACACAACCCATAGTGTAAAACTATTAAAACACTAAAAATCCTTTTATTGAAAAACTACTTGCATGTCAAAACATCATTAAGGCAAAGGCAAGCACAGCTCCGATCCCAAACTGGTCCCTGGAAGGACAGGTGTTGCGTGTGATTTTAGTACGCAGCGCCTGCCCTTCTCTATGGGAGTACACAGCCGTACGCCGCCCTAGGCTCATCCGCCCTGCACGTCCGTATGGGTGCGGGTGAGCGTACTCGTACCCTGACAGGATGGATCCTGTCTGCGTCCGAGCCGGGACACCCGTACCGACCTGCACTTGAGGTGAGCGTAGGGCGACGTTTGGCCGTGTACTCCCATAGAGAAGGACAGGGGCTGCGTACTAATCACACGTAGCACCTGTCCTTCCCGGGAGCTGCCTGATACGGCCATGCATGCAGCACGGAGCCGTACGCGCCGGCCTTTTCTCATGTGAATGAGGCCTAAGAGATGCCGCCTGAGGCATCAGCTTCAGGCTTCCTTACTATAGGGATGGCCCTGGTCAAGAACCTTCCTATACTGTTAGACAAACTGAAGAGAATTACTGAACTTTTGGCAGGTAAGACAGTATTTCAAATGAGTTTAGCTGTCTGCCTGGAGTACATCCTTAAAGTGACACTAAACTCAGGAGTTAAATCTTAAAAATACATTCAAGTACCTTAACTATTAACAAAAATGTATCTTATTTGTGTATTACACTGCTGTAGATCCTCAAATCATCTCTGAATTGGTGCTGACACTGTCCTTCCTTCTGGAGGGTGACTACTTTTGTTCCCCATGGTCCCTGTGTGTGTGTGTGTGTGTGTGTGTGTTGTAAAGTAGTCACCACTCCAAGCTCAATACAAACTAGTGAATTAAACATGAGATTGTAGTCCATCACAGGAGTGAGCTTAGAGCGTTGACTACTTTACAACACACACAGGGACCATGGGGAACAAAAGTAGCCACCCTCCAGAAGGAGGGTCTACAGCCGAGTGATACACAAATAAGATACATTTTTGTTAATAGTTAACGTACTAGAATGCATTTTTAAGATTTAGCTCCTGAGTTTACCGTCACTTTAATTTATGTTTCAGAAGAAAATAATTTTTACTTTTATGCAATTACAAATGGAGCTTCCTTTTTAGATTCATCCAGATGTTTTGTCTCCCCTACAGGCAATATACAAGATGGTGTCATCCGTGATGAAAATGCCAGAAGACGAATCTACACCAGAGAAGAGAACGGACAAAATCTTTAAGCAGATGGACACAAATAATGATGGTATGACATGCACAAACTGCTCCCAATCCAACCCAAGAGTACATGAGTGTTCCATAAAAATGGAAGCAATGATTCCAGACTTCAAACGACATGTCTGTAGTGCAGGTCTACAAAATGGGAGAATCTGGGTGTTTGCTATAAGCAAGATGAAAGGCCATTTCCTTAGGTTTTTATATTATCAATGGGTTTAGAATAGTTGATTGTCCCTGGGCACACCTATCCTGCGTCCAGCAACAATCCTCTATCCAAATCTTAAAAATGCCGATTTAACTCTTGGCGCTAGTGATTACCATCACACAATCCTGCAGGAGTAGTATTTCTTGTAAAATATCCACAGCTTTTGGAGAGGCTGCTCGTCAAAGAAACTCTGGGGTTCTGATCAGATACATCAAAGACAAAAGCAACAAAGCGCCACCTCCTTGTGTGAAATCTTTTTTTATTTGAATAATAAAAACGGTTATAAATACTCACAATTTATAACATTTCAGTCACGCTTGTCAATAAGAGAGCACAAGATCAGTGTCTAAGGAATGTTCTGCTCCGACTGCGTGTAAAAAGTTGCCTCTGGTCACATCATCATACCAACTGCTGCGTTTAGGCTGGATTTACGGGTTTCATGGGCATACCCCCTTCCTCAGAATGACGTGATTCTAAAACGCATAAATCCAGCCTAAAAGCAGCCGGTGGCACGATGGTATGGTGATGTGTCCAGAGGCAGCTTTTTACACGCAGTCGGAGCAGAACATTCCTTAGACACTGATCTTGTGGTCTCTTATTGACAAGCGTGACTGAAATTTTATAATTGTGAGTATTTATAACCATTTTTATTCAAATAAAAAAAGTTTTCACACAAGGAGGTGGCGCTTAATTGCATTTTTAAGATTTATAAAAGACAAAAGCAACAAAGTATCTTAACTATTAACAAAAATGTATCTTATTTGTGTATCACTCAGCTGTAGATCCTCAAATCATCTCTGAATTGGTGCTGACACTGTCCTTCCTTCTGGAGGGGGGCTACTTTTCTTCCCCATGGTCCCTGTGTGTGTTGTAAAGTAGTCACGCTCCAAGCTCACTCCTGTGATGGATGGATTACAATCTCATGTTTAGTTTACTAATTTGTATTGAGATTGTAGTCCATCACAGGAGTGAGCTTGGAGCGATGGCTACTTTGCAACACACACTGGGACACTCTCATCATCACTACAAGATCTTGGTGGAAAATGAATGCAACTCTGGATGGAAATAAATTTTGTGACATTGCATAAGCTTATAAAAATGATGCCACAGGAAATGTGTGCTGTAATCAAAGCTAAAGGTGGTCCAACGAAATATTAAAGTGTGTGACTCTTTTGGCCAGGCAGTGTATAAAAAATATTCACATTAAAGATGCACTAAACAAGGATATGACTGCGGCTTTAGGTTCTAACACACCTCTGCTCAAGGAGTTATGTGGTAATTCCCAGTATAATGCAGAACGCAGACCTCCACCAGTACTAGCCTTTCCTCCCCCACAGTTGCAGCTTCTCAGTCATTTGAACATATTGGAGCTAATTATTGGCTGTGTATATTTAGCTCCGTTCTAGGCATTGCCCATTCAGGACATTTAGTGCCTATGAAATCAGCCGCATTGAACATCAGCTGCCCTTCTGCCTTGTGCAGCCTTTTAAAAGGCCTCTCCAAAGAGGCTTGTTGGTCATATTCCAGGAACACTGCAAGCGACGTTCCGGTTACTTTCCTAGCGAAATTAGCATTGCAATTGTAAACATCTACAGTAGAAGTGGGTTCCTGTAATTTTTTTATTTTTTTTTGCCATTTATCTTCTTTTGGATCTCTGTAAGCATGTTGCCATAGAAATGAGTTGTTTGTAAGATAATGACAGGTCATTCTGGAGAGGACCCGACGGTGCAGCTCTTAGCATAATATACTAAAAGAAGAGGTACTGGTCTGTATGACGTTCTTTTGTAAATCCCTGGTGGAGATAAATTGTTCACTGATAAACCCATCCAACATGACATATTGGGGTCTGTTTTATAAATGTTTTCACTAGGGGTGCACCGAAACTCAAAACAAAAAAATGTCAGGCTGAAACTGAAAATTACTTATTTTTTTTCCCCCAATCATTTCTTTAAAAAATGTATAAAATATTTTTTTCATATTATTATTAATTTTTTTTACTTTTGGGGGCTTTGGGGAAATATCAGGGGTCTAAACAGATCCCTGATATTTCCTTTTTAAAATGGAAAAAGAGTTGGAGTCCTAAATATTTTTCTAGAGCCCTTGTTATGAATGAAAAGGAAGTCTCTATACTTAGTAACTGATACTATCTCCTCCAGTTTATGAATGGACAGGAAGCAATATAGAGCACTTCCTGCTCATTCATAACTGTGGAGTGGGAGGAGAGCCCAGCCTCCTGTAACAGCTGACAGCTCTCTCCTCCCTACACCGCCCCGCTTGGCCTCCTGAAAGCTTCTCTCTTCTCTCTTCCCTGCTGGGTGCTGGCAGCTGGATCCTTTGTGTCCCCTCCGATACCCGCTGCCTCTGCCAACACAGACAAGGAAGAGTAGTGAGTATTGGAGGGGGACACAGACCGGCGCCCATTTTCAGCCAAAATGTTGATGCATCCCTATTTTTCACCCAAGATTTTAAATTTTTCCAACTTGAATTGACTTTGAAACAATGTGTGAAAGTTTTGTCAATCTTGTTTGAAAATACTTAAAGGAGAACAATGAGGTGAGTGATTTCCACTCCTCATAGTTAGAACCGACCTGTGACAAAGAAGCTGTCGCAGGTCGGCTCTATGGATCGGGAAGTGAGCAGAAACATGCAGTGATCCGATCGTCTCCCTGCAGAGAGCCATGACTGTTGGTCACTGCTCCCTGCAGTGATTCCCCCCTCCCCTTTCCAATCCTCCAGCGCTGAGTGGAGGAACATATGGGGGGGTGGCCGGCACAGCTGGCTCCTCTAGCTGGGCAAAGTCCGCTGTCACTCACGCAGCTGGGTGGATCTCGACAGTATTGTCGAGATCCGTCCCGGCTGCGGTGCTCTCGGTATTGCTTGCGATATACTGAGCTTTGGGGTCACAGGAGGAGGTTAGTATATGTCCTCCCGTGACCCTAAAGAGAACTATGGGGGAAAACACTTACCCCATAGTTCTCTTTTAATAGAACCAATTATGCAGTAAACGCTAAATAATTGTTGGCTGTACTATTGTCCCGATCTATTCCCATCACCAGTTTATCAAAAATAAACGCTCATCGCTCCTCCCCATATACAGTGTACACGTTCTGCCACTTTTGTTTGAAAATGTCACAGTATAAGCCGCAGTTTAATGAAAGAGATGCATGGTTGAAGTTCCAATTTGTGTGACTGTCTTGTCTTTCTTCTAGGTAAGCTTTCCCTTGAAGAATTTATTAAAGGTGCCAAGAGCGATCCCTCAATCGTGCGATTGTTACAATGTGACCCAAGCAGCACAAGCCAGTTCTAATTACGCTCCATCCGTACGGACAGCCGCAACCAAACTCTGGCTTGTCAATCAAGCTTTGCTTGCAAGTGAATGCCTTCTCAGTCATTCCTCTACTGTTAGCGGATCTCCACCCCCCTCCTGCCAGATTGTTTTCTATGTATTAGAGAGAAAACAGCCTTGCTCCCCATTCCATTTACCAGTACACACGACATTCCTTTCCTGCGTTGCATCTAATGTCAGGTATGTTTACATGTGGAGACAGGAACACAGAAGATCGATGCACAGTCGCCGCCCGGATTTTACACACGTGGAATTGTGCCGACAGTGGCGTCATGACACTATACTGAACTTGGTTATACTAAGATAAAATAGATGGCTGTTTCACTTTGCAACAAAAGCCGGAAAGAAGATGAGGACTTTACAATGAATACATTGAAAGCACAAGAGTATATATATATATATTATATTTTTTTTCTTTAATTCTTATTGCTTGAAATTCTGTAATTAAACTGTCATTATCCTGCTCATGTATGTATGTATGTATGTATGTATGTATGTATGTATGTATGTATGTATGTATGTATGTATGTATGTATGTATGTATGTATGTACAGACACACACACATTTATAATATATAACAGTATGTAGGATGATTCAAAGGTCCGTCTATTTAAAATGAAATGCTCAGATTTGAGTAGAATGGGGGGTGGGGGGGTGTTTTACTTCGCCATTAACTTGGAAACTGTATAAGACCCCAGCAGGGATATTCCCACTGAGATTATGGAGGGTCCAGCAGGGGTCAGGTGACCCCACTGTCGTGCTTAAAGTGCACCTGCACCCATGCTATGGACATTAAAGTATTTACATATTCTTAAGTGGTAAGAGTTTTAAAACAAACCTCACAACAGGGGACAATGAAATTGCAGCACCTCATCTCAGGGGCCCGCGTTGATAGATTTTTGTTCACATCAGAGCTGCTCATCTCCCCATACAAGTCAACAGGAAAGCAGAAGCAGCTTTAAGCTGGTCAAATTAGCTTGGGAGGTCAGTGTGTCACTATATTTGTAGAAAATAAATCAAAGCAAATGAACGTGCTGTATTAAGACGTTTTTCTGTCATCTGACTAGCTTTCTCAATGTAGAAGTTCCCGTCTGAATTGATAAAGCTACTCAGATGACCAGCGAAACGTCTTAATACAGCAAGTCCAGTTGCCTTGATTTGCTTTTTACAGCTATACCATGACCTGGATGAATGAGAACCTTCATAGACAATGTGTCACTAGACCGGATTTCTTCAGCAGATGGCACTGCGTGTAAAATCTGCCATTACATTTCTTCCTATAGAAAATACGGGAGAGGTTTTGTCGGCGCTGTCTTGCAGTGAGGGGGTCAGAACAAAACTGATATTTTTAGTTTTCCTGAAATATCCCTTTAACAAGCCGGCAGGTGATGAGACTTGACTGAGGGTACCCGAGGTAAACATACTGTTTATTGTGTAATAGACCTCATATTATAATGTGTCACAATACATCTTTCAGCTGTGGGTCACTATCAGTGGCTATGCGATCTTGTCAATGTATGTGTTGACAGAACCATAGCACTTCATACTAAATTCTATAGGACAGTTTCTGCGTGGTGTGAAAAATGTAGCCCGTGGCATTTTCTGCATGGAATGGGTCAACACATTGTTATGTTATCCCTGTAAATATTACAGAATGGAAACAAATGCAGTGTTGAATGCAAACAGAGTGGATTTGCCACAAAAGCACCATTCTAACAGTTCATGTTATCCAGGTCTGCGGACGACATAATTATTACAGTTGTCTAAGCCTGGGCTTCTACCGATGCGTTCTCATTGTAGTGTGTAACAAGTGAGTCAACGCCTGTTGCAACTTACATTAAAACAAACATTGACGCGCATTACAATATTCCATGACAAACGTTTTCATGGTCTTCCGTTTATTTTATTAGGCTCCTCAGCTTTTCTCAATGTGCATTATTGACACCTAAGTGTGAACCCAGCCAAAGGTCAGTGCCTGGGAGGCTTTTGCTCGCATCACTTCTCTCCTTATACAAGTCTATGGGAATGCAAAAGCATGGTCCGGTAACTAATTCTGAATCATCTCAGAAGCATCTTAAATTAAAGTCAAAAGCATGCTGCATCTGCAGTCCAAGGAGCACCAAGTCTGATTCCTTGCTTGAAGCTGAAATCTGATTGATTGCCATAGACCTCCCTTCCTTTTTCTTTTTTTACTCAATTTGTTACTGGGCTGCACTATGCTGTGGTCTGGGAACATGAAGAACATGATCTGTTGCTGGTCCATGAGAACTGATGGTGAGAAGCTCCAATATCTACTTGTCTTTTTCTCAGACCTTTCCTCAAAAGCAGAACATGTTGTTAAAGGCTCAGTCATTATTACCTCTGAGTCTGTGGACAGTGCTGGGAAATGTTTATTGCTAATTATACTTGAGGATGGGTTTGGGAAACACGAGGACTCATGTCCAAGGCCTTAGATAATGTAACTTGGCAAAAACTGGGCAGGTTCTGCACTTCTCTAATCTTTTTTCCCCCAGAGTGCGTACTACTTTACAGTGCACAACTGCACACTTTCTGCTATCTTACCAGAGAAATAATGTGCATAATTGTGTATTCATAATGAAGTGCTAATTCTTCCTGTTTTCAGCCTGCGCCAGTAAGTCATCCTTTATGTTGCCTGCCTGTCTGCAGCAACCAGTTGTGCTCCCTTAAAGCCGAACTCCAGGAACCAGCTAAATACACCATTGCAAAACACATAAAGGAACTATTGTACCTGCAAAAGTTTTGTATTTCTGACAAACCAGTCCTGAAACATGTACAGCCCTGCCAAAGCCAGAAGGATTACATCACTATCTGTTACAATTATAGACTGCAGAAGTAATACAATGGTGTCCTCTCTCTATTCCTACCCTGCTGATTGGATGGACATTAAGGAGCGACAGTTAACTGAGATGCCCTCTCTGCTTTTTCCTTATAATCAGCATGTTCCTTGTCAGCACAATTGCATACAACATGCCTGATTGGCTCCCAGTCCTGCCCCTCCCTCTTCCATACGGCATCTCTGATTGGCACCCAGTCCTGCCCCTCCCTCTTCCATACACCATGCCTGATTGGCTCCCAGTCCTGCCCCTCCCTTTTCCATACACCATGCCTGATTGTCTCCCAGTCCTGCCCCTCCCTTTTCCATATGCCATGCCTGATTGGCTCCCAGTCATGCCCCTCCCTCTACCCTACGCCATGCCTGATTGGTTCCCAGTCATGCCTCTCTCTCATACGCCATGCCTGATTGGCTCCCAGTCCTGCCCCTCCCTCTTCCAGTCTGAGTGCTGCTGTTTGGAGATTGCAAGAGACAGATATGAAGTAGCACTTGCACTAGTTGCATTAAAACAAAAAATACATATAATGACTTATTAATGAACACATAGCAGCATTAATGTGTCTTTGCCTGAAGTTCAGTTTTAAATCTTCCATACTGCCATCTTGGAGAGAAATGGGGGGTCTGGTTGCTTGCTGTGGGAAGAGCTGAGATGGCTTTCCTTTCAGATAAGAGGGCAGCTGTATTCTATAGTTTGTTATAAAATGTGTGTGTACTTACAGCTTAATGTATCAGACATATAATCTACTTCTGATCATATGACTATGTATCATTTTCTAACAGTGAACCCATTACTGTGACAATGGGTGGCCTCCTTTGTCACGTGGGTTCACCTGGGAGGTACATGTGATCTCATTCTCCCCTGCACCCCTTTCTGTATCTGTGATTTTACTAATAACCTTGGACGGACATTTTTCTGTGATGACCCTTCTAAATTTAGTGACATTTTTTTGCGGTTTTCAACAGAAGAAAAAAAAAAGCATGACCGGCTGTTTTGTGTTTCACCGTTTAATTGAATGCAATTTATTTTTTTTCTGAAGAGAGATCTGTCTTTTATGTGAATTGTTCAAAAGCTTATTGTGTTATAAAAAAAAATAAAGGAAAAAATGATAGTTATTTCTCAGAATGTAGAATTTCTTGTTGTCCACATTCAAATTAAAGTACATCTTCACCGGCACTGGATTATTTGTACTGTGGGCCCCAGGATGTTCTCAATTAATGGATCCCACGCCAGTTTCATTGGATCATGTATAAAGCTCAGTGTATCCAGTTATGGTTTTTGTTTTTAAATGGATCTGTAAAACATTTGTGCATGATTTGGAATGCAATGTTTGCATTATGAATTGGGTCCTACATAGCGGTATACTCTGTCAATGACTCGTATGTTGGTGGAAGATAAGGAACCAGTGCTTCCAGGTGCAGGAAGCGTGCATATGTATTGTACTGAATAACCTTTCAGCCTGCAATCATGTGTCGCACTTGCAATGCCATTCATTGTTAATGGCAGCCCAAATGTTCCAAGCTAGATGATTGAAGTTGAGCTTCAAGGTACATGAGCTTCCTTGCCACGTTTGTGCCTAGAACAGCCCAATTCAAATGAATAATCTTCCCTATGCGCAACAAACACGCATAAATGCAACACCATATTGCGTCTTGTAGATATCCCACCACACTCTTGACCGGTATACCGCTAGTTGAATGTGTGCTGGAGTCCAAGAGATAAAAGTATGTCACCAGCACACACCAAGAATCTCCGTCCAAAAATGCCTTTATTGATGTTTCAGCATCACATCAAACAAATAACTATGTTTCAGGACTGCGCAGGTTCCTTCATCAGGTATGGCATACTATGCCTGATGAAGGGACCCTGCGCGGACCAAAAATGTTATTCGTTTGACGTGGTGCTGTCAAGAGGTGTCAATAAAGGCATTTTTGGAGGACATCCTTAGTGGGCTGGTGACATACTTTTAGCTCTTGGACTCCAGCACACATTCAACTAGGGGTATACCGGTCAAGAAGCAAGTCCCCAATAAGATAACAAGCGAAGTAAAGCTGTTAGTTACCGGAGAAGGAAATGCACTTTTCACATGCAGGAGCTGAGGGGAAAATTAATAAAAAGTGATACAAACTTTGTCTCAACTGGAGCTAGAATTTATTTTTCTATGCTATATAGAAAAAAAAGAAAGAATGTGTTTGGAAGCAATACTGAAGAGTAGTGCACAATGCACTAGTGACATTTCATTTATGCCCAGAGTTGGGCTTTAAAAAAACTGATAGAGGTTATTTCACTTCTCCATGCTATCCAAAACTAGACAAAAAGTTGTGACTGATGAACTACTTTAAAGTGAAACTGTTGCCAGATCGTGCACACTAAATTATATAAATATTCTGACGAGCAGCAAAAGCACTTTAAAACGAACCCTAATTCACCTCTGTATCTATGAGAATTGTAAAGAAATTGATTTTCAAAGTTCACAGGAGGCACTGTGTTTTTCTATGAGGACAGAATCTTGGCAGCTTGCCAGCACTCTAATGTAAACACACAGCAGCTGTATGTAGGCTGCTAGAAACCAACTGAAACCGACTTCGTTCTTTTCTGATCCTTG